TTGTCCTCCATGTCGTCAAGAAAATTATATTCGGAAGGAGAGGGTTGAGAGGCGTAGGGAAAGCAGGACTCATCGAAGGTGACGTGGTGGGAGATGATGATCTTGTGGGTGGTTAGGTCTAGGCAGCGAAAACCACGCTGGGCTTCTGGGTAACCAAGAAAAATGCACCGAGCAGATCGTGGGGCTAGTTTGTGGGGGGCAGTGGCAGAAAGGCTAGGGTAACAGAGACATCCAAAAACGCGAAGATGTGAGTAGGATGGAGGATGCGATAAAGAACTTCATGTGGGGTGCGATTGTTGAGGGTGGTAGTGGGGAGAAGATTAAAGAGATGAGTGGCCATATGCAAGGCCTCGACCTAGAAGTGAGGGAGAAGGTTAGCTTGAAAGAGGAGGGTGCGGACGGTGTTATTTATTGTGCGGATGGTGCGTTCAGCACGACCATTCTGTTGGCTCGTGTAGGGACAGGAGAAGCGAAAAAGAATGCCTAGAGATTCAAAGAAAGTGGCAAGGGGATTATTTCTATATTCAGTGCCATTGTCACATTGAACTGATTTTATGGTTGTGTTAAATTGATTTTTCACTAGAGCATGGAATTTAATAATATGAGAGTAAGCATCAGATTTGTGGTGGAGGGGAAAAATCCATAAGTAATGGGAAAAATCATCTAATAAAAACATGTAAAATTTAAAACCAGTTACACTAGGAACATGAGATTGCCATAAATCAGTGTGCATTAATTGAAATGGAAAAGTTGAAATACGGCTAGAGGACTGAAAAGGAAGGCGTACATGTTTGCCTAATTGACATGCATGACATAAAAAATCTAATTTTGATTTAGAAAAACTAGCTAAAGAAGACGACACGCCATGGAGAACAGCAGGGCTGGGGTGTCCAAGCCGTCGGTGCCAGGTAGAGAGGTCGACTTGGGCCAAGTTGAGGTGTGCGGTGGAGGGCGCTTGGGAGATGGGGTAGAGAGGTCCGTCACTATTGGATCGATGAATCACGGCTCCCGTCAATTTGTCCTTTACAGAGAAACCACAAGAGTCAAATTCAATGGTGCAATTATTATCACGAGCAAATTGACGGATAGATATGAGATTATGGATGATATGTGGGGATATTAAAACATTGTTTAGGGTGAGGGGAGGGGATGTGGGAAGGGTGCCCTTACCAAAACTAGTGGTGCTCACTTTAGATCCATTACCGACAATAATATGCGAGGGAGAATTAATGCTTGAAGTAAATACATGAGATAAAGTACCTGGGTCAGAAGTGATGTGATGAGAAGCTCCGGTATCCATGAACCAGTTGGGTTGGGTGAGGGTGAGGTTCTCAAGGCTATGGGCTAGGGCAGTGGGGCTGGGTGGGGTGGTGTAGTAGGTCGGGTGTGCAGGGGTGTGGGCTGGGGGGCGGGATACGGGTATGGGTTCGGGTATGGGCTGGTGGGGGACTGCTGGGTTGGGTAGTGGGTAAAGGGGTTTGGGTTTGGGTAATTTGGGCCGGATGTTGGGTAAGTGGGATTGGGTGAGTATGAGTTGAATGGGTAATGAGTTTCATGTAGGTGGGCTTGGGCCAGGGGTTGGGTTGGGTAGGGCCGTGGCCCAAGTAATCCAAGGGAAGGAGAGGGGAACGTCCAAGTATTTGGGCCCGAGGGTTGCCGCTGATTGCTGCCGCTGCCACGACCTCGACCGCCGCCGCGACCCCTGCCGCGGTTGCCGCCTCCACTGCCACCGCTGGAGTTCCTGCCGCGTCCGCCGGAGCCGCCGCCGCCATATCCGCCGCCAAAACCGCCGCTGCCGCTGCTCCCAGATCCGCCGTAGCCGCTTCCTCGGTCCTGCCAGTGTCCGCTGCCCGGATAACTGCCGCCGCCGCCGGTGCTGAGTAGGGCTGTGGATGGCGCGCCGGCGGTGTAAACGGCGTCGTTTTGATGCTGTTCAACAAGTAGTAATGCGGACCGAACCTCCAAGAACGTCGGGAGTGGATTTTGATATTGTAGAAATTGAACTTGACCTCGGATGTCGTGAGGGAGACCTTGAAGGACTTGGAGGACAAGGGCATGTTCGGTGACACGAGCATCCACATCGTCAAGGTACTCGGAGAGGTTCTTGAGAAGGCGACAATATTCGTTGATGGAGAGTTGCCCCTTCATAGTTGTACGGAAACGATGCTCCAGTTGCATCGCCCGGGCATGCTTATTGTCGTGAGAAAGATTGTAGATCGCCGTCCATAGGGCATGAGCAGAGAGATTGTTGGCAAGCACAAGATCAGAGACTTCATCCGTGATTGTAGACAGAATCCATCCCTGAATTAAGGCATCAAATTGATACCATTCAGCATCGTCTGCAGAGGAGGCTATGGTGGTGCCGTCGATGAAACCTTTGAGATTGAAGCGGAGGATCAAGAGACGAAATAATCGACTCCACTTTTTATAATTTGGTTCGGAGAGACTAAGTTGAACTGGGATATGAAGTTTGATGTTGGAGATGGTGGTGAAGGCAAGATGAGGAGAATTATTTGGGAGAGAGGTTTCGTTGTTGTTGGGGACTTTGCCGGAGGAGGCGGTGTCGGCCATGGTTGCCGGAGGGAGAAGAATCCGACGAGGGGTTGGAGTTGAAGGCTTGGCCGAAACTCAAGAGGGAGAAGAGGGAAGGGAAGCCGTGAGAAATTAGGGCTCTGATACCATGAAGAATGAATATTTTCTATTGAATAATAATGAGAGATTACAAGTGTATATATACAAGAGTTTCCTAATGACAATAGGAAACAATAATTAATACACCCTATACAAATATGGTAGCTACCAATATACATCAATATTAAATATAGTAAGAATATATTTAACACTGAGCAAAGATGCACTCCAGATTTTAGAGTACATTTGGACATGTTGGACTCTTCTACAACATCTCTATGATTTGGTGTCCTGATGTATTAGGCTATTGTATGGTATTTTTTGGCCTTATTAGTACTCTGTAGCTAATAAGGAACTCAGGAAACTCAGGGAATTCATCTCGCCTCCATCGTCCATCGTCTCCTTCTCTGTAATCCCTACGCCATGTTTGGTAAATGGCTGTTGAGGTAGCATTTGGATGTTTTGACCATGAATGGCTTTTTTGACTTTTCAACCCGCCAAAAAAATTGTTTGGATGCTTGCTTTTGCAATTAGCTGTTGGCCACGAACTGCCGAAATTTGAACTGCCAACATGAGTAGCATTTCTAATTGGCTGATTGCATATATTTAATTTTTTGCCCTTCTTGAGCCGTTCCCAAAAAAGAGATGCCCCCATCATCGCCATTTTTTTTATTATCAAAGCATTCTTTTTATTTCTTTTTCTTATCATAGACATGTTTCTTCATTTCAATAATTTTTATGGTACACTACTCTTTTTTAAGAACCATATTTTAAATTTTTATTTTAAAATGAAATGATTATAAATATTTATAGAAAATAAATAATGTTTAAATTCTAAGTGTTCAAAAATAACTTTCAAAAAAAAAATTATGTGTTTTTATATTTAAGAAACATCCTCTCTACTTTTGAGTATGGGTAAGAACTGCGTACAACACCCTTCCTTGATCCTACATTCGTGGGATCCTACTAGGTTGTTATTGTTATCAAAATTTAAAAATTTAAACGATTCAAAACAATAAATTACTCCCTCCGTCCGAAAATGTTCTTCTCATTTGACTTTTTATGGTCTCCAAGATTACACTTTGACTACTAATATCTTTATTTATACATGGATATATTTTATAAAAAATTTGATAATTAAAAACTATATTTCAAAATGAATATATTCATATTAAAGTTATATCATAATACATTGGAAAGTTGGAAAGAGTGTGAGTCAATACGGCAGCAATATCCAGACTTCCAATGTGAGGACACGGTGGTTTTCAAAAATGGGAGTAATGATAAGATTTGGATCACTTATAGCAGGAGGTCACGTCAGCAGCTTTATAATTAAATTAGTTCGTTCTCTTCACTTGTTACTTTAGTTTAAAAGACTAGTTATTAAATAAAAGGACTCATAGGTTGTCAGAAGTCCTGAAACCCTAAAAGTCTGCCTAGTTGTTGTTTAACCTTATCAATTTGTTAGAGCATCTCCAACCATCTTGCTTTGGCTTGCTAAAAGCCATAATATAGCAAGTCAACTCATTTTTCTCTTCTCCAATGGATGTGCTAAACTTTAGCAAACTTGTTAAAAAATAACTTTGATTTTCTAAATATAACAAGCTCTTTAAATTATAGGGAGCCTAGAGTTGTAGAATGGATTAGCAAGTCATGATTGGAAACTGAATCAAAATATCACTTGCTATATCACTATTCACTTGTTAAAATATAAAAATAGCAAGCAAATATAGTAAACAAGGTTGGAGATGCTCTTACAGAGTTATAAATAACCCAGCCTCTCTATTGCTGGATACGCAGAAAATAAATTATTGTTCTTGAGATCCTCTTGGTTTCTATCCCTTTCAATTGGTGAGATTCTTACTGTGAGAGAGGAAGAAGAGTTTTATTTAGAATTAATTTGGATCCTGAATGAATTCTAACAAGGTTTCTATCAGAAACATAACTTAGAAGGGAATGTCTAAATCTGTTCACAAATTTGTTTAACTTAGCAGTTTTACTAATATTGTCAGCCCTTTTCACTTTGAAATCTGCTTGAACGTGTTTTCTAAGTTTAGGCAAAAAGTTTCAAATTTTTTTTGGTTGGGGAGTGGTCTGCTCTGTTCAAAGTTGAGAAATTTATAGATGTCGTGCCTATTGCCCCATTATTAGTAAATGTATACTTTGTTGGTAAAAGAATAAAGAGAAGAAAATCACCAAAAAAACAGTTCCAAATGGAAATTAAAATAGAATTGTTCAAATGATTTAAACCCTTCTGTTGAACATGCATAGAAGATTTTTTTTGGGACTTCATGGACTATATTTTAATGAAAAAATGAGTTGTTTACAACATAGATTTAAGATAGAATTTCTAACATAAATTCAAGAAATATTATCCCAACAAATTTTTTTCTAAGCTTGAGTGGAACTGGAGTATTTTATTCATAGATGCAGTGTTATTTCTTAAAAAAGTCTCCTTCTCTACTAGTTTTCTTCTTGTTAAATTTTTACCATGTTATTTGTAGGGCTTAGCCAAATTGTATTATTCTTAGACTTTGTTTCCAAATAACATTTGAAACTTTTGAATTTGGCTTTAGTATTTAAGCAAAGATGATTGTCAATTCTTTAAAAAAAAAACAGCAATGTCAATTGTTTAAAAAAACTTGGGAGTTCTCTGATTTTTTTAAAAGATGTATAGCTGATTTTTTTAAAGCTGCACTGCTGATTTTTTAAAGGTGCACATGACAGCACTTATATGTACTTTTAAGGTAGAAGGAACAAACTAGCTAGGAGTAAAACAAAGGTCATATTCTTAAAATAGGAGTTCAAACTTAAATTCTTCTAAATAAGAGTAGAACATAATTAATAAAACAAAAAAATAATCCCACACGCACATTTGTTTTAAAGATGCATGCGAACTAAAAGTCATGAGCATTGATCACTGCATGCGACTTTTTTTTTGCAATGTTTTTGAGTTTTTCATTTTTTTATTTTCTATAAAAAGTTAAAATAAAGATTTTAACTTAATTAATAAAACAAAAAATGCTCCCCCACATGCACTGCATTTGTGGCCAATACCAGTGGTGGCCAAATTCAAAACTAAAAAAATTCGGCCAATTTCGCAACAGCATGCTACTGACAGCGACGCCCACTGCCGCAATCGTCGTCGATGATGATGCCCACCGCCGCCATCGTCACCGCCACATACCTGCCACTATCACTTGAATCTCCACCACCTCCGTCCTCTGCTCCGCCGTACCGCTACAAATGAAACCTACTATTGACGCCTTTGATTTTTCGTCGTCACCATCAATTCAATGATATCAGTGCTATATACCATTATCAACAACACTGCCATCACAATCTACACCATCGTCGCCACAGTGGTGCCAAATTAATAGTTAATACGGTGTCAAAGAAAGACATTATAATGTCAAACATGACACCATGTAATGTCACAATACTGTAATATATTATGGTATCTACGGATATATATTACGGTGTATACGAGTATATATTACAATGTTACAATGTGTTTGACATAATGCCAAACCAAATCCAATGACACTGTATAGGTAGATACTTGAAATGTAACAGTCTTCTACAGCTCACTAAAAGCATGCAACGAAAGTTTTACTGATAGACCAATTAATCCTTCCTGATGCTTCGCTTTACCTTTTTTATTATAGCAAAAAAAAATCAATCTTCGGCATCATTTCGTATATATACGGCGGTGGCCATTGATAATGGTTAAATGTTCCTTTTTAATAAAAAAAAGACTGAAAAATTGCCTATGCACCCAATATATACACTTTTTTAAAACTTAATTTGGTGCAAAACAATAAATTTATACACATCCCCAGCTCTAAAGCATAATTTTGCAGTTTCAATTCATTGAATTTAGCAATTAAATTTAATTTTTTATCACACGTCAACAAATAAGAAAAAGAAATAAAGAAAAGAACCTGCTTCAATTCTTTAGCATCCCAAATCCCAGCAGTGCAATTGCAAAAGGCAGAAGTAAAGAATTGGGCATTTGGTTCTCATGCGGTGAAATATAATGGCACTGAGTATATACTCGTATATATACACACTAACATAGAAAGGTGAGTGACTGCATTTGCAGTCACTTGCTCCGATGTAGCTCCGCCACTACTGCTTAATTAGTTACTCCTATTTAGAAGAGTTTAAGTTTATGCTCCTATTTTAAAGATATGATATATGTTTTACTCCTATTTGAGGGGTTTTCTTTAATTTTAAGGTGCACATAGGTTTGGATTGGCAATTAGAGGTCACAGCCGTTAGTTTCTGGGCAGAAACCTCATGCTCTTTGTCCATGTTCAGTTTGGATTGGCCATTATCTGTGCGCAATCATGTTCGGTTTAGATTGGCCCTTATTTCTGGGCAGAAATCTCATGCACTTGTATGTCCTTTTTTTTCCAGGTTTGATTGTGTGAAGCATGAAGGGGATGGTGAATGGATGTTGCTACTTACTATTTATTTTATGGAATTACATTTTGTAGTGTTTTGGTTGTATAAGATTTGAAAAATTCAACTGAAAAAAAACATTTCGGTCTTTTCCGGTTCAGTCTAAGAGTTATTTTGTAGTGTTTTGGTTGTATAAGATTTGAAAAATTCAACTAAAAAAACTTTTCGGTCTAATTGGTCTTTTCCGGTTTGGTCCAGACCGGTCCAAGACCGACTATGAATAGGTCCGGTCTTCGGTCTTATAATTTTCCAATTTCGGTCTTCGGTCCAGTTCAGTCCGGTTCGGTCCGGTCCTAGACTGATGAACACCCCTAGATGCTGCCATGCCAAAGCCAGGAGGCCAAGCAACCAGTGGTGCGAAAGACTAATAAATTTTGTGTATTCTTATTTGCATCTCGCCATCTTCTTATTGTTTTTTGGTTTTATGATGTGAGCTGAGATTGATTGATTGTATGGGTTCCCAATTCTCTTTGTGAGTAGCGAGACAGTACCCAGCCTGTCCATGTACTTTTTCTTTCGTTTCAATGGAAGTGTTTATTTTTTAATGTCCAAATAATTGTTTGAAACAATGTTTATTTGATTGTTGTACATATATTGTTTGAAAGT